GGTCCATAAACTCATAAACTAGTTGTATTTCTTCCTGTGCAGTGAAAACTTCTCTATCATGTTGATTAAACCTGTAGTGAGCAAGTTGGTTTCAGTAGGTAAGTGTGAGGTTCTCAGACTTCAACAGTTTACCCTAAGTTCAGTTCAGTACCTAAACCTGTTGTCTTCTGCAGAAAACAAAAGGTGGTTGGCTAAAAAACCCCAAAATTTCCAAGTCTGGTTGTATTACAGGTCTCTGGTGGTAAATAACAAGTTCTGCTGATTTGCTGTGGGAATGACTGCTCTCCTGAGTTCAAGTGGGTGGAAGTGGCTTCCCAGTTCATCTGTCGGGGTGTCAGCTCTTCTCAGAATTGTTTCAAAATCGCTGGTTCAGCATAAAACTCCTGCAGGTCCTGTGAAGGTCTGTGGAGCAGGAGACTGACCCGCCTGGCTGGAGGGGAACTGGCTTGGTGGGAGGGACACAGGGAAGCGTAAAATCCCTTCCAGATACTTAGTTTCAACATACTTGTATTAATATCATAGTCAGGTGATTGTCTTCAGGTTTGAATGTACAGAGAGAGGTTTTTTTCTGTCCTTAATAATTCTTGAAAACGGAAGATAATGGTTTTTAGCTCTTAGGTCTGCTTTTGGTTATGCTGTTTGCCCATAAGCTGCTGCTTTGGTTTACATTTTCATTCTGATGTTCTGCCTTAACCCAGCCCCCCTGGGAATGGTGTACACTCCTTCTTTACATGATTGAAAACCAATTTTCCAGTTCTACTTCTATTCTCTCCCATTTATATCCTCCTTCTGGCAATGTGATTGATAGAATTCCCTTTATTTTCTGGAGCTCGTGGTAAATTTGATTCACGTTTTAAGTCAGTTTGTTGTAAATTCATTACAGCTTCGTGGAAGGATTAGGAAGATCCCTGGGAGAGGAAAAGTTTAGTTAAGAAGCTGGGGGAGGGGAGTGACAACAGGAGGGAGAACTAACAGAGAACAGTTTTGTGTTTGTTTTTTTTTCCTTGTTTTTTTTTTTTTTTAAAGTCTCACTGCCTGAGTTTCTGGTTGGAGGAGCCCAAAATCGCTGAATGCTGCTGTTCAAGTCCCTCTTACTAAGGGCGTGCTGCTGGCTGTGAGGTCCTGCTAGCATGGCAAAGTGACCTGAGTTGCCTACAGCTGACCCAACCACATTTGTGGCAATGCCCAGTGAAACCCTTCCCTTAGCTGCTGGTTCACCCCACGGCTGTGCTGGGACAGGTACACAGTGTCCATACCAAGGCCAGCCAGCTCCATCCAACTTTTTTGCACCTTTTGCCTCTTTGTTTCTATGTGGAGCCTTTGGCTTCATTTCCCCTCTGATCTGGCAGCCTTCACCAAAGGGTTGTTGTCGAAGAACTGGAGTAAAAAAGAAGCAGAGGAAGTTAAACTTGCCCAAGTTTTGCATATTTTCTGTGAGTCACCTTGGTTAAGTGCTTTGCACAAAGAATGGAAAAAAAAAAAAAGTTGTGTTTGACTGGTAGGACATCAATAACTTTCCTCACCTTATTCAGGTGTAAAATGTCCTGCTTTATCTTGGCATGTGGTCTAGCTTTGGGTTTTTTTTACATAAATATCCATTCTGTGTGAGGGGAGGGAAACATTAGCCTATTGTCTTGGCTAATCCTTCCCTTGATGGGCATCTCGGGCTGCCTCCGGGGTTTCAGGTGAAACTTTGAATGGTTTGAAGCATCTGCCCCCATGAGGAGCAGCAGGATGCCCAGAAAGGTGAACTTCAGGCCTAACTTCAGAGAAGCATGTTTCAGTATGTTGAATTTCATGAGTTGGTGTGACCCTGACACACAGCTTCAAAAAAGCTTGTAGTTTAACTTCAGGAAGTGTTTCCTTTGAGGCTTTCTGGTGGTTGTTGTTTTATTTTACATTAAAATACTGGCAAAAACCTACATTAAAGTTCAGGTAATTGCATTTTGAAGATCGGGGAGTTAAGCTGTTCTCTTCCAAACATCAATTTAAATGAATTGGTCTTAACTGATAGTTTGTTAAAAATATATACTTTGTTTTTAAAAGGCAACAACTTTAATTTTATTATGTGTCTTTGATTCTGGTACTTTGATAGCCTTTGATAGTGTATCCTAAAGCAGAAGGAAGGGGTTGCCCTGGCCTTGTTTCTGGGTACAGAGGGTCACTGTGCAGGTGTCTGAAGATGTGGTAACATGAGCAGTCTGGGCAGTTCTGCTGGGCAAAGTTGTACCAATGAGATCTTTGCTCACCTTGTTTTCTCCTGAATCTCGATGCAAAGACAGATAAAGTCAGCTTAAATCTGCAAACTTCAGCTGAGGGCACCAGGAAACCATTCACAGTAAGGATTTGATGAACTAGCCTGATTTTGGGACTTGCAACTCATGATTCTCACCTGGGTGTGCATACATGTTGCTTGTGTCAAACCTGAGCAAGAGTTGGGCATTCAGGTCAGGCCATGGGTCACTGCTGCCCTTCTCCACATCAATGTGAAGGGCTAGGATGGAGGTGTTAGGATTCTGTCAGAAACATTTAATTGATTAACTTCCTTGTCTTCAGACATGGCTGCTGTGAGGATGAGCATCATGTCAAACATCCATCATGATCTGAAGCTGTTTAAACAGCTACAGGACTGTTACTAAGGAAGGTTCTTTGCTGTTTTGTCCCTTTGCTGGGGAAAGTGCCAGTTTTGTGTTGACTGGGATTTGTGGAACCGCAGAGTCTTTCTTTTTTTGTGCTGCTGTGGGGTCTGTTCTTGAGTTCCCTCCTGAAAAAGCTCATAGAGCAAGGCTCTTTTCGAGGTGGAGTTCAAGGCTTTGTTCCTGCTGCTCCAGAGCTGGTCTTTCCTGGTATGTCAGACCTGCAGGCGTGACTCATGGGAGCCTTTCAAAACATGGAAAGGTCTTCCCAGAGGAATTCCAGCTCCTCCAGGCATTTGCAAAGGAAATTGTTAATTGGATTAGATTCATAATACTAATCTGCTAATGACTGTTTGTTATGGAGATCTTAGCAGTATCTTGTAAATATATTCACCTTCATTTAGC